CGGCTCGGCGTGGGCCGGGCCAGCCGGGAGTCTGGAGGCCTGGCTGCCCGCTACTGGCAGATCCTGGTCCCTCCTCCCCTCAGACCCAATTCTCTACCCAGTTAATGCTGCTGAGGGACAGGAAAAGGCCAAGAGCTCGCCATGCACTATTCCATCTTAGCGTTCGGCTCACCCCTCACACTTGAATCTCAAATGAATTTATTAAAGGAAGATGATATCAAATTTGACTGTTGGGCTGGAGATTTAGCCCAGTGGCTCCGCTGCCTGCTTCACAAGCACAAGGTCCCCGATACCAAAAACAAAAACCAAAACAAACATTTCTAGTGTTTCCTTTTTTTTTTTTTTTTTTTTTGGTACTGGGATTGAACTCTGGTCCTTGCACTTGCAAGGCAGGCGGTGGAACCACGGACTAAATCCCCAGCCTTGAATGTTTCCCTTCTTATAAATTGCAGGTCTGCAGGACTGTATTTCTTTATACAAATATGAGGCAATGTGGCACAAATGCCATATTTGCTAAGCTCAGATTTTGGATAGATGGTGTTAGTCCATTTTCTGTGCTTTGCCTTATGTTTGAAATACTTAACAATTAATACATCACACCAAGTTTAGGTGTCTAGTGATTTCTTCATATGCTTGTTAAACGTGTGTGTGTGCTTAAGATGTGCACAGCTCTACTCGGGATTGAGCTTCTCAGCAGCACAGCTGCTCTTGATGCCCTTGCCTTGCATTCTCATACACAGGATGGTGGCCCGAGGAGTCTCTGCTAGGAGGACTTCCCGAGACTACAGCAACCTGTACGAGAGAAGGCAGACAAAAGCAGCTCGCCATAGCAATGTGAGAGGCAGCTGAGATTTGGAAAGTAGGAAAGGCCAGCTGAAAGGGTAGAGCTCGAGGTGCTGGAGCAGAGGTGAGCCTGCAGCCTGGGGTTCTGATCAGAACAGTCCCCAGCCAGGTCCTGGGCAGCCAGACTCCCCACCCTGAGCTGTTGCTTCACTGGGGACCAGCAGTGGTTCTGGGACCTTGAGCTCCCAACTGCAGCTTTCCGAGCAGCTCTGTGTCACCAGCAGAGGGAGAGGAGCCCAGGTGCCCAGAGGTCTCCTTGGCTACCAGACCTGCCCAGGACGGTGGCCTCACTGACACCTCCACTGGTGCCGAGTGGGAAGGGAGGAAGGGAAGATGGGAGGAAAGCTGGGAGCTGGGCACTCTTGCTGCCACCCACTCGCTCAGCAATGAGCAGGTGCACCATGCCTTAGGGTACGAAAGCCCAACCAGGAGTCTCCACTGCGTGGCAACCAGAGCCTCTCCTGCACCAGGCTCCTCTGTCTGCAGACGGAGGGGCTGGAAGGGCTCAGAGCCTCTACCCATGCTCCTGACACTGAAGCTCAGAAAACCATCTGTCCCAGCCTGGCCCGTGCTAGACTATTCTTCCTGTTCCATACACTACACTGCTCTGTACTAACGAGAGCCGAATCCAATTCAATGGTGAGGTTGAGTGGACTTACGGGGAAATTTGGCTCAGTTTTCACCCAGTTCAGTGTGCAACCAAATCATGGAAAGAATTGAGTTCATGAGCCAAGGTGCCCCTGCATATACCAGGGGTAGCAAGTCTACAGCACAGGTGCTGCAGCCAGATGCTGTCACTGAAAGCTCCCAAAGGCTTACCATCACTGACACATGCTTTTCTCTGCGATTATATTTCCCTACTCTACTCCGCTGTGCTGTGCTGTGCACTGTACTCACCATGCTGTACCTCACATGCATGCTGTGCTAGGCCACACTTTACTGTGCTGTGCTGTATATTACACCTTCTACTGCCATGCTGTGCTGCATACATCACTGTCACACTGGACCTCATTGTCCTGCACTGTGCTCTGCTCCACTGTGCACCATACTGTATTATCCTGGGTACTGTTCTACAATATGCCACACACTATGCCTCTCCTCACAGGACTGGCTTGGGACATGCTGTGACTGATCCGAAGGTCCTGAGGCCTGGACTCCGAGTGTGGAGATTTGTGTGCAGGACCACCGGCCTCAGGCGAGTCATCTGAAACTCCTGATTGTGGTGAGCTGGAGTCCCAGTTCCTGCCCACAGAATGTGGGCCGGGCCCCACCTCGATGCAGGAAGGAAAGGGGCCTTGTGGATTTGAACAAAAGACACAAGACAGGTTGGCTGCTAAGTTAGTCTCATTCCCCAATCCCTGACGCAGGAGAGCTGCTCATTGTTGCTGACAGGAGGTGAACAGGGCCTCTCCTGGGAGGGGCAGCCGTCTGGTGCTGCTGGTGGAAGTCTGGCCCTACCCTGGTTGGTTCTTCCAGTCACTCTCCAGGGAGCAGTGGAGGGGACAGCACAGGCGCCGGGCAGGGCCAGCCGGCTGACTGGTCTGCGCCAGGCTCCAGGATCCCAGTGAGCTCCACAGGGAGTTGGGGTGGCCAGCCACTCTGGACCTTGGCAGAGGGAGGTATGATGAGATGAGGGCCAGACCAGCCAGGACCCCGACCCACAGCCAAGCACCCTGACAACCCTGCACTCCCCAAGTCTATGCCACATTCTCCACCGGGCTCGGCCACGACCCCCCCAGGGCTGTGGCTTTTGATCCCATAGAAGCAGAAACTGTGAGTCACTGTTCCTAGGTAGCTCCTCGGCCCTGCAACGCAATGCCAGGCAGACGAAACCCTGGGAGGGACCCCAAGCCCTGGTGCGCCCCGTCACACCAGAGACACTGGGTGCTGAGCACCCAAGGGCAAGCCTGGACCCCAGGGCTGCCCACCCTCCCTACACAGCCATGAAGACCTCAGGAGTACATGCAGTGCCTCCTCCTGGCTGTCTCGGCCCACATGCACAGGATGTCTTCAAGGTGCCCTCCGCACAGCGCATGGCCCTGAGGGGCGAGTCGTGCAACGTGTCCCAGGGCTGCCTGGCAGTGTGGCGGTCCTCGCACCCATCACAGCACCCGAAGGCCCTGTGGTCAGAGCAGAATGTGAGGTGCACAGGAGTGGGGCCCATAACCCAGGCACTGGGATTGTCCCCGCAGCAAGCCCCCCTGGCCCAGCAAGAGCGTAAGGCAGACACAGGAGACACCAGGGAGGAGCGGGGGCCCAGCAACCCCAGGCACCTTGCAGGCTGGAGGCAGCCTCGGAGGCAGCAGCCTTTGCTTGGTTGGTGCCCTGCTCTGCCCAGGACTCCTCACTCCTCCCACCCCACCCATCTCCTGCCTTCCCGCTGCCACCAGCCCCACCCCATGTGTGCTGCAGTGGCTCTGGGCAGTGTCCTTTAGGAAGCTGGCATGAGTCCCAGCCAGCGCTGAGTCCTGGGGGTGCCCAGCTGCTAGGCTGGAAGGGGGAGTTGCTGGAATCCCTGACAATGGCCCAGGGCTCTTGTCAGGAGGGGGGCGTCCATGTTACTGGGTTCACAGGCTGAGGTCCCAGGACTGTTGCCAGTCCCCGACCACAGACTGGGCAGCACACCCAAGGGGACAGCAGGAGGCAGGGCACACTGCAGTACTGGCACAGGAAGGGCCTGTGGATGGAGGCCGGGGCTCTGCTCATGGCTCCCATGTCTACAGCAAGGGGCAGGGCAAGGAGAGAGGTGCAGGTGAAGGAGACAGTGTCTTAGTTGTGCTGCTGAGAAATTCCTGGCCCCGGACAACACATAGATAATGGACATTTCGCTCTCACTGCCCAGTACAGCGAGGAGTCCAGGATCCAGGGCCCCAGGCTGGGTGCCTGTGAGGCCTGTTCGTCAATGGCAACTTGTGGCTGCGTACTCAGGCTGCAAGGGACAGACTGAGACAAACCCCAGCCCCCTGATGGCCCTACTGCTCCCAAGGGCTTGTCAGGGAAAGGCTGGAAGTGGAGTTCGCGGAATGAATGTGTGCCAAGTGACACTGGCTCACGCGCCCTCCTGCAGGGAGGCCGACATCTCCTGCGAAAGGAGTATATAGAGATAGCTGTTACACACACACACGCACACACAAACCAACCCCTCCCAGGCTCCTGCCAAGGCTGGGAACTTCCAACCACGCAAGCCTGTTGGCCCAAGCCACTTCTGTCAGCACACAGCACTTAAGAAACTGACAAACTGAGTACGCTGTTGGCTTTTCTCTCTCGCTTGCCGAGGGCTCCATGTCCTACAAGATCCTTCCCTCAGAAGACTCCCTTCCATCTCTCCATCTCTGGTGCTCTCCCTTGCTTAGCATGGCAGTGTGTTTATTACTGGACTATGCTCATATTTGCTGTACTTTTACAAGGAACGTATTTTCGTCTACATAAAATCAGGATATGGCTCTCCTCTTGGTGTGGAGCCAAACTTCAACTTCCGTGGCCACACATTTGTGGCTCCATCCTGGTACAAGGCTCCCCTCATCTCTGTGGGGGCTGAGACTGAACCAAACGCTCCTGGTGCTAAGCGAGCGCTCGCCCCCTCTACGGAGCTGCACGCCAGGCTCTCCTTGGGGTCCATAGCACCCCCAAGGCCACGTATTAAAGCCTGGACTCCTGGGTGCTGTAGAGAGATGTTAGGAGGCAGAGGTTAGTGGAGGAAGTGAAGTCACTGGGGCTGTGGCCCCAACCAGACAGGGGCCCCATGAGGTCATCCACGCCCCGCCAGGACACGGTGATGTGATTGATGTCAGAGCCAGACACCTGACATAAAAATCCCAGGAAAGGAAGCTTTGCTGAAAACCAAGAGCCACGCCCACTCAGTTCTCTCCCACTTCCGTTCCAGGTCATCGGGACTGAGGCCTGCTGTACAGCTTTGTTCTGAAGGTTCTGGGGAGGACATGAGGCTTGGCCTGTGCTGGCGTGCTGCCCACGCTCCCTGGGATCACATTCCCATCCCGCTGCCCTGTTCGCGCTGCATGCTGGTGTGGGTCCCTCGGGCACTGGGGAACTCGGACTTGCTTCAAGTGTGTGGTACAAGGCTGGATACATCTTCGCTGACAGACATTTTACTTAAAAGTATAAAGTAATATTGAGATATGAATTTTTAACAAGGCATAACCCATCCCCTAATTTTCTTGCAGATGATTTAAAATCAGTAGGAATATAAACCCATGAAACTCTGGTTTGCATTCTTGCTTCCAAGAGGAGGGGAGCTGCGTGAGTTTTAGCGCGTGTGCTAGGCTCGCCCTGGCCGACAGCCAGTCCAGCCAGAGCCACCTCAGACAGACTCGGTCCTCCTTGGCCAGCAGCCTGTCCTGAGTCCCTGTCTTTCCAAGCCTCCTCCAGAACTCACCAATATTCTTCATGGTGGTAAATCTAATGTGAGCCAGTGAGAATCTAAAGGAGAACACAAATTCATTTTGCAGCAGTACACATTATATATTTTATTACACAAGAGCATGGGGCAAGTTACCTGCAAACAATAACTGCTGTACAGCTATTGATTAAATCATTTTTTTCATCTGAAGATCATTCCTTTAAAAATAGTACATTTAACACTACAAAAGAGAAAAAAATATATGTTTACAAAGAGCAAAGGCAATGAGCTATTTTTCAGCTTTAGTTGACAAAATACTGCAGTATAAAAAGTACAAAAATAATGTTTATAGTCAGATAACCTTCTTGTAAAACATCAAATAAATATATTCAGTAAATATCTACTGAGCTACCACTCTGTGACTACAAGTGGGAAATAACTGAAATTTAATATCATACTGGTGGTTTTACAATGCTGTATTTCTTCACTGATTTCTTCATCAGCTTAATTTTCTTCTTTACACCTTGATGATCTTGTTTTAAAATATATCGAAAATACCTACAACCTAAAAAAAAAAGCAAAACGTTTCAATACTCATTGGCTGTTTACGTCTATTCCATTTTTTAAAAAGTGTCCTTCCACTTCAGCCTACTAACGACTGAAAATGATTTATCAGTACTGTCTACACCCATGGCCTCTCCCAGGGCTAGACTGGGGGGTGTAGCACTTCCTATGCACAGAGGCACTTCCTTCCGGTCAATCATAACAAAGGCGCGTACTTTGGTTTCCATTCTGCCCCTCAGTGCTTCTCCGTGGTCACGGACAAGGTTCCTTTCTTCACTTCCGGACACATTTTGTGGCAGTTTCATTTCTGCACTGGATACCCTTCAGTATTTCAATGGCACAGACCAGATAAGTTTTATTGAACTAAATATTCCACTTTAAAAACATCAATCTCCTCTTTAAAAAGACTTTCTGGTAACTCAGTAGGAGGTAAGGCTTTGTTTTGTATATTAAAGGGAGAAAATGTTTCCTCCTTATAGGAATAGATAAGTAAACACAACAGAGTATTAAAAAGCAAGGAGGTCACTAAAGGACATTTCTGTACTTTTAGTAAAGTAGCCCCAGTAAACTCTCCACCCAGAGAGGCCCAGTGGCCGCCACTCACGGTGAGGATGGTCAGATTTTGTAATTCATCATCTGCCAAAACCTACCTCAAGATAAACTGAACACAAAAATACGCACCTTTTCCTAACAGCATTCCAGCTATCAGTGCTTTCTCGTAAGCCAAATCTTTATCTTCCTTCCAGTCACTTTTTGCCCAAAAGTAGCTGAAGTGGAAGGCTGGCCACCAGTTCCTCCTGGACTTCCACTCTTCCTGGACCCACGCAAGATGATTCCTGGAAAAGAAAAGAGTCAAAGGGGAACTCAGAGATGAGGACAAATCTGTCCTGCCAGAATCGGACTTTACTGGAACTCAGGAAAAGATGAGAGATGTTTCCAAGGTAACCTAGGACGGCTTCCATTGACAACAGATTTCCCAACCAACTCAAATGGACATAAAATGAACTAAAATTTAATCCTGTGACAGTCTTTCCTCTCATACACAAGATGAGAGTAAGAGCCACTCCTTTTCTTTACTCTAAATGTGGCTCTAATGATATTACGATCACAGGTGCAGTTTTGTTTTGAGACAAGGTCTCACTGTGTAGGCCAGGCTGGTATCAAAATCAGTGATCATCTTGCCTCAGCCGCCCAAGTACTGGGATTACAGATATGCGCCACCATGCCTGGTTGAGGTACAGTTTTAAATACTCAACTCATTAGAGACAAGCATGACACATTTTCATAGCACAAACTGTCTGGATAGAATTTTTTATGGGTTGTGTTTTCTAGCTTCGGATGTACTCAGAAGAAAATAACTGAAGACAAGGCTAAGAAAGCCAATGACATAAGTAAAAAAACTTCTTAAGAAAATTGCTATTAGCTAAAACATGCGGAAATTTTGGTTTGTTTTTTTTGTTTGTTTGTTTTTTTGAGACAGGGTCACACTATGTAGTTGAGACTGACCTGGAACTCACTATGTAGCCCAGGCTGGTCTCGAACTCACTTCGATCTTCCTGCCTCGGCCTCCCGAGTGCTGGGATTACAGGCGTGAGCCACCACGCCCGGCACATGGGGAAATTTTGATTCAGGAATAAATGTGTGTCTCCTACTTACTGCATTAAAATCTGTCTCAGATAGCTTGCCAAATGTTTCCAAGCAGTTATGTTCCTTGTGCATCCAGCAAAATCCAGGAGCCCAAATAACACTGCCAACCCCAGTTTACGGTGTTCCTCTTTTTCTGCAACAGTCGTAACAGTTTGGGTTTATACACGGTACTGAAGAAGTGCACAAAGCTAAAAAGACACATGCAGTTGGTAAAACAGTACTAAGCTATAAGCCTTCTTTCTGGTCTGGTTCACGGTTTAGAACAATTCATTATGCTCACAATCCTGGGATGTATCTGGAGGATCAATAACATACCACTCATGCTAACTGAGGTCAAAGTGTGAGTCTGATCCTCCACTAATGTCCCACTGAGAACAATATTTAAAGTACTTGCCCTGTCTGGGCAGTTTTGGTACATTCCCTTCTTTCAGGAGCAAACCTACACAGTCCATGTACCAACGGAGCCCAGCAAGCTGACTTACTTCTAAGAAGCATGTTCTTTTCTTTACGAGCTGAAGCCCAGGAGGGATTAAATGAGGCGAATTAGATAAAGGGGAGCCACTGTCTTTTGCTAACTATTGCCTAACAGTCTGTAGTAGGGGTAGGCAAACAGTTTTGGTGAGGGCCAGACAGTAAATGTTCTAAGCTTGCAGGCCACTCTAGCCCTGTGCCAGCTGCAGTGCTGCTGTCCCAGGGCAGAAGCAGCCAGGGACCAGGCCCAGCGCATGGGTGCCAGTCCCATGTGGTTTCCAGAAACTGGCAGGGGGTGGCCATCCCCTGTTGGTCCTTGGACTACCGCTATCTGCACAAAGAGGAATAAAACAAAAATGGTTTACCTGATTTTTTAAGTAGCAAATGGAATTCTAACATCAGTTTATGAGATGGTACAATCTGATACAAAATCTGGAAGAAAAATTAATCTTGTAATTTACACAATGTAAAGATATTTCTCAAATTTAAGCTTACTTGCAAATAAAGTTCTCATTTTCTAAAATGTTCTTATAAATGAAATCAGGGGTTTAAAAGTTACTTTGCTCTTATTTGGTTTTGAATATAGCAAGCTATGTTCTATAAACCTATTTTAAAAAATCCTGCCAATGTAATAGTCAGGACTATTGGAGGAAATAGACGGAGACTTTTCATTTGTGTCTTATACACATCTATCCACGCTCAAAATTTTTAAATAATTTATTTTCAGAAGCTGGGACTTAACCACACACAAAAATTTACTGATCACAAGAGATCACACAATATTTACATGCAACAAAATCTCAAAAAGCAGAGACAATTTTAGAGACTGTACTCAAGAACACAGTACAAAAGGGTCTGGGGGCAAATATTCCAACAATCCTTTTATACAAATGAGATAAACTTAAAAGTATTTCTTTTTAAGAACAGGAAGAACTAAGCCAGGTGCGATGATAAACACTTGTAAGCCTCAGCTACTCAGAAGGCTGAGGCAGGAGAATCACAAGTCTGAGCCCAACCTGGGCAACTCAAAAAATAAAAATAAAGCCGGGCGTGGTGGCTCACGCCTGTAATCCCAACACTAGGGAGGCTGAGGCAGGAGGATTGCTGTGAGTTCGAGACCAGCCTGGATTACATAGTGAGTTCCAGGTCAGTCTCAACTACATAGTGAGACCCTGTCTCAAAAAAACAAAAAATAAAATAAAATAACATAAAAATAATAAAAATAAAAATAAAGAGCTGGGCATGTAGCTCAGCATACGAGTCCTGCATTCACTGCCCAGCAGAGTTCATGTGTGGCCAGATGATTGACAACAAAGCTTCCAAAGCCCAGCATGGTTGCTCAAGCCTGTAATCCTAGCACTTGGGACGCAGAGGCAGGAGGATTGCCATGAGTTTGAGGCTAGTTTGAGCTTCATAATGGGTTCAGGGCCAGCCTGAACTAAAAAGTGAGACCCTGTCTCAAAAAAATACAAAATAACAAAACAAAACAAAAAGGCTTCCAAGAGCGAAGGTCAGTCTTTTCAATGAATGGGGAAAACATTAATCTCAACTCTTACACTTCAATATAAAAATATATACAAGAATTATACATACATACATATACGTTTGTGTGTGTGTGTGTGTGTGTGTGTGTGTGTGCGCGCGCGCGCTAAAAATCTATCATAGAACTTAAAGACCTACACAACACTTTAGGAAAAAAAAAAAGCAGAATCTTTATTATCTTGTGGGGTACTGCAAAGATTTACTGGATTAAAAAGCACTAATAATGGAAGAAAAAAATGCATAATTTGAACATTAAAATTAGAAAGTTCTGCTCTTTGAAAGAAACTGGTAGTTAACAAAACAGAAAGGCGGAGCTTGGGATTTAGCTCAGTGGTGCCACCGCCTGCCTCACAAGCAAATGGTCCTGAGCTGGAGCCCTGGTAGGGGTGGGGGAACGACGACAAACAGAAAGGGACTGAAATTGTAGCCCAGTGGTAGAATGCCTGCTTGGCCTGGCTTTGATCCTCAGAACCAAAAAGACAAGACAGAAAACAAAAAAGGCAAGCAACAATCAGAAAGAAAAGAATCACAGTCCACACACCCAACAGAAGGGTGTCTAGATTATATACAATCTTTCAAGTCAAGAAGAAGATAAATAACAACTCCCCCTAAAAGACACACAAAATATGTGAACAGACATTTTTTTGGTACTGGGGGTCGAACTCGGGTCCTTGCGCTTGCAAGGCAGGCCACCGAAACACTGAGCTAAATCCCCGGCCCTGAACAGACATTTAACTAAAGAAGATCCAAGAACAGTCAACGGACATTAACAGGATGCTCAACCCGAGTCATTGGGAAATTCATGTAACAGCCACCGTGAGGTGCCCCTGCAGTCCAAAACCACTGACACTGGCGACAAGGAGGAGGGACACAATGAGGGTGTCCAAGGTTCAGTCACGTCAGAGAGCAGCTGGGAAGTTTCTCAAGAAGTTAAACATGAACTTTCCTTACTCAGGAACCCCACTCTTGGGCAGGTACCCAAGAAAAATGAAAATACACATTCCTGTGAAAGACATAGGTGTGAATTCTCTCAGCAGGATTACCTGTAAGTCAAAAAGTGAAAACAGGCCAAGAAGTCAATGTATAAAAACAGAATAGGACTCAACTATGATGAGTTACTACATGCGGCACCACAGATGAAACTAAGAACACTGTGCTGAGCCAGATTTAAAAACTAAAAACTGTGAGATTAAGTTTATACGAAAGTCCAGAAAAGGCAGAATTAGCCTACAGTGACAAACAACAGGCCAGTAACTGCCAGTTGCTCAGGGAAATGAGGGGCTCGGGAGGTGCCAGAGGCTGTGCACCTTATTTTCCGGGCGGAAGTGGCTGTCTTGGTTAACCGCGGCCCAGCACACTTGAGAGACTGAACTTGCCTCTCTGTGGCAATTAAACTGCAGTGCGGCTGGTTCACAAATTACCAAGGCAGAACTTGCCCACCAGGGCCAGGCAAAGGGTCCCTGAAGCACAGGTCCTCTCGCCTCAGCAGCGACCCCTCCAGCCTGCAGACACACAGCAGAGGGCACCAGTCATGTGATGTCTGAAAAGCAAGGACCCACGCGCATCCTAACATGCAGCTGCAACCCTATTCAAGTATGAAACCGGTTGTCCATACCTTCAGCACGCTTAGCAGTTTCGCTCTTGGTGCCTTCTCTCTCTTTAGAAAGTTGTACAAGTAAACATGAGCATTCGGATTAGCCGGGAACTTTTCATCATACGCGTAACTGGTGAGCACCTTTCGGGCTCCATCTCGATCACCAGAGAATTCCAGCATCTGTACAAGATAAGCCATAACATCTTAGCTGAATTCTGTAAGACAACTCTAATAATCACAACTTTACCACTGGGCACGAAAGAAAAAATCACAGAACGGACAGATGGTACAGTAGAGGGACAGAGTCAGCAATGATCTCCGCCTCCACAGCCATATGGCACAGAAGCCATGGAAGAGGATTGCTCAGGGCCATGGGGCGGGTCCACTGCAGCCTGACTCTGCTGTTACTGGGCCAGGGGTTTAGCTTAGTGGTGCCACTGCCTGCCTTGCAAGCACAAAGCCCCAGGTTTGATCCCTGGTACCGTAAGAAAAAACAAAGAAACTATGCTGTTACTGGAAAACGTGGCCACTTCAACCTACCAACTGCTCCACAAGAAACAGAAGTCCTCGAGGAAAGGGAACCAAAGCAAGGGACCTCAGCACCCTAACTTCTGCCACCAAAGGGGTGCACAGCATGGTATGGCCACCGTGACCTGGGCATTCCCCGTGAACTAGGATGTGGCTTTGGAGATTCCTGCTGACTACGAAATCACCGCGTCAACACTCCTAAGTTTTCAGAAAGGGAGGCACTTTGAAGATCTCTCCCTAACATCCAGGCCCAAGGCCCTCCATCCTTTGGCAGTGGCCCTGTAATGAAGGGGCATCTTCGGGAGCTCTCTAAGGCCTGGCTCTGCATCCCACGTCTGCGACCTGGTTTCACGGCCTGTCCACGTGTGCTCTACATCCCACCCAATCACCAAAGATCCTTTTCTTTCCAGCTCCACGAGAATACAGAATTGACATTTAAAGTTATACTGCTGTTTATGTTATAGGAACGTGACCAAGACAGATTATCCAATGGCGAAAATAAACACGGGTACACTGACAGCATAATAGAAGAAATTACACCAAAAAAAAGAGACACATCATATTTCTGTCTCTATTCCTGGTCTCTGTTTCATTCTGTGTTTATAATTTTCTCTATGGGTTTCCTTCTGCTCTACAAAACCAGGCAGGAAGATTTTACAGAGGTCTAGGGCTAAATGAAACTAATACGGTTTGATGAGAAGCCGACTTACCTCTACGTAACTCTTCACAAAAGGGTCCCAAACTCCAGGAGTTTTAATCAGTGCATTGAAATTTACAGATGTCTTCCAGCTGTGGCTGACTATATTTCGGGCTTCTGTGCTATAGGCATAATCATCCTTATCTGCCCAAAGATAAATGATTTTTAAGTCATTCAATGTTGAGGACCTATTAAATTAGTGATCAGAAAACGCAAATAAAAAGCTCAGGTCCTGATGGCTCCTGATGAATGCCAACAAACACGCAAAGAAAAATATTAACTCTATACAAACTCTTCCCAAAGGAAGGATGAAAAGGAATAACTCAACTTACTCTATGAATCAATGTTATCCTGACACCAAAAGCAGACAAGAAAAACAAACAAACAAAAAAATGTCTGTCTCTCTTCGGAATACAGATACAAAACTCCCCAGTGAAATACAAACAAAAATGAGTCCAATCACATATAAAAAGAGTTACACACCATGCCCACATGGGACCTATTCCAGGGCACGGCTGGCTTGATAGTTGAAAATCAATTCATACAAGTGACAGGACAAAGATCTATCGATCTAACCCAAACCAACAGGATAAAGGACAAAAACCACAGACGCAGAAAAAGCAGCTGAAAAAACTCAATAACCTTTCATGATGAAAACACTTCACAGCTGGGGATTTAGCTCAGCGGCATCACCACCTGCCTCAAAATACTCCACAATCTGGGAATAGAAGAACCACAATCTGGGAATAGAAGAACCTCAATCTGACGCAGGGCATCCATGAAAAACCCACAGCTACCGTCAAACTTAATGAGAAGCCTGCATGCTCCACCCCGCAAACAGGGATGAGGCAGAGGTCCTCTCGCTACTTCTATGCACTATACTATGAGTTTCAGCCAGAGCAACTGAATAAGAAAATAACAGAAAAGACATCTAGGTTGGAAGGAAAAAGCACAATTATCACTACATAGATGATACGACCCTACAAATAGAAAATCCTGAGAATCCACTTAAAAATCTACTAGGATAAAGGAATTTAGAGAGCTACAGGGTACAAAATCCATCCGTTAAAAAATGAAACTAGGGCTCAGCACTCGGGAGGCTGAGGCAGGAAGATTGCCATGAGTTCAAGGCCACCCTGGGCTATAAAGTTAGTTTAAGACAAGCCTTACACAGTAAGACCTGTCTCAAAAGAAATATCAAAAATAACCGAGAATTTAAAGCCAATAAAATGCCTGTTCTCTACACCATCTGGATGAAGTTAGCTGGGAATAACTGGGCTGTGCCTTAAAATACCTTCTGCCCTTCAGCATCTTAAGAACAAAGTACACAAAACCCAGATCACACAGGAACTACTACAAAGAATCAACAACTGAAACCTTATCTTATAAAAAAGCTTCTGCACAGCAAGAGAAACCCATCAACAGAGTGAAAAGACAACCCAGAGTGGAAAAAATTTATGCCAACTATTCAGATAAAGGATTATTATCTAGAATATGTAAAGAACTAAAAAAAAAAAAGAAAATCTAATCTCCCAAATTTAAAGACCCAATGCAAAAATGGGCAACTGAAATAAAAAGACACTTCTCAAATGAATTCAAAACAGCAAATAAATATATGAAAAATGTTCAACATCACAAGTCATTCAAGAGATGCAAATTAAAACAACGCTGAGATTCCACCTCATCCCAGAAAGAATGGCTGCAATCATGAAATCCACCAAAACAAATGTTGGAGGGGATGTGGGGGAAAAAGGAACCCTGCTCCGATGCTGGGGGAGTGCAGACTGGGGCAACCACTGGAAATTAGTGTGGAGATTTCTCAAAAACCTAAAACAAGAGGTTTCATTTGACCCAGCTGTACCTCTTCTTAGTATCTTCCCAAAAGAATTAAAAGCATCAGACCAAAATATGCACAGCCATGTTTATATCAGCACAATTTGTAATCACTAAATCTTGGAAGCAGCCCACCTGCCCAACAGATGAGTGGATAAAAATGTGTTTTTTTAATACAATGGAGTCCTGCTCTGGATAAAGAAGGTAAACTTCAGACATTTATAGCTAAATGGATGACCTTGAAACCACACTCTTAAGTGAAATAAATCAGACACACAGGTTTAAATACCACGTGTCTCTGGTGTGAGAAAATGAAAGCGGAAGTAAGGGCTGAAATGTATAATATTAGGGCGTTGGGGAATAGGAAGTGTTCAAATGGGGAGGGGAACAAGGGAGGGGGAAGGAAGGAAGGAAGGAAGGGACTAGAAAAAAGTGAAAATAGAAGGAAAAAATGGAAACAAAGCTTTTGTACATAGGGAGGGGAGGGGGCTTGAGGGGGACATGGGATAAAATAAAATGTATCAATAAATAAAAGGAACAATGCTCCCTCAGGTTCGCTCACCAAGCTTTGACAACTCCATCTTCCTTTCAGACCAACTGAAATACTCCAAGAGCCCTTTGTAGGCCTGCACCAGGTTGATCAGTGTCTCCTGGGAGGACGACTTCTCTCCGTATCTCCAGGTCTCCGCCTGACTGAGATTTCTGCTCGCCTCCTCCAGCATCCCATGATGAATGAGGTACAGCGCGTGCTGTAAGGAGATCTGTGACAAGGAGGGGCCACTGTCATCGAGGTCACCGGACAGCTGTGACCCACGGCTCAGGAGACACAAGGTCTACGTGGGCTGAGTCCACGGCAGGACACACACACGTCACGCTGTCCTGGCCACATTTCCGTCTAGTGAAGAAGGATCCACGAGACAACTAACACTATGTAAATGAGGGCTGAACAATGTCATACGGCAAAAAAGAAGACATTTCCACTCAAAAACAAATAAGCTGGGCTGGAGATGTGGCGCCACAGCTGCTTCGCAGGCACAGGGTCCTAAGTTTGATCCCCAGTACCAAAAAAAAAAAAAAAAGAAGCAAATAAGCCGCAGTTGTCCACCTTGCTTCAGCCTCACTGGCTACGTGGACAGGAGTCACTACCCTCAGAAGGGTGCTGTCGAGGGTCCACTCAGACAATTTTGCATCACACCTAATGCCTGGTTTGGCCAACAGTGGAAAATCAGTAATTATTTAAAATACATCAAATATGCTCAGAGAAAACATCTTAATAAGAGGTGCTAAAGAATGTCTTGAATTCAGGTGGAAAGTGTATCCCAGAAACAGGAGAAGCAGTAAAATTAAACACTCAAAGAATGAGCATGGCGTTGAGGGAAGGCATAAAGCTAAGGAGAACAGGGCAAGGGCAACTAAGGTAAGGAAGAGTTGGAGAGGGAAGTCCACGGCTCTCACTGCAAAGTGCTGCAAGAACTTCTCCATGCCACCCACCCCGATCCGCCCCATGGGGCGAGTGAAGAAGCCTCGCCTGCTTAGTCATCCGGGTGAAATCGTTCCCTGGTGCCCGGGGCCTACAGGGTCAGACCCAGGCTCCCAGGCCTACTCTCCTGAGGGCCTTCCAGGGCCCCTACAACACAGCTCGGCTTACGCACCATCACTACAAGAACCCTGTGGGGCATGCTGCACGGAAAACAGCAGTGCTTTCCACATGGCTGAAGTAAAACACAATCCACTGCTTATGCTAACCATTGTCTCAGATCCCGAAACGAGAAATGAGGCTTCCACCCAGTTTCTTTATTTCTGCTGAGAAGATTCTGTAAGTCAGAGGGGCCTAACCAGTAAGTTCGTTAAAATTCCACCCCATCTCCCCAAATGGCTACCCAGCTTCTTTCTGAAAATAAAGAGAAAGAAAAAAGATGAGGAGTACACAGTGTGCAGGAGGCCACTCCTTCCACCTGTCTAGTCAGGAAGCTCTCCCTTCCAGGGAACCACAGTGGCCTTTTTGGGGCGGCGGGGGGTACCAGGGATCAAACTCAGGACCTTGCACTTGCAAGGCAGGCGGCAGAACCACTGAGCTAAATCCCCAGTCCACCCCATTTAATTCTCCCCACAGCATGCCCGTCCAGCAGAGGTCAAGATCACCCCATACCTATGCGACATCCAGGAAATCTTCCCTTAACTAATTAGTAAGACCTCAAATAACTGTTCTTGGAATCAGAAAGCAGCACTCAGCAGCCAACATAGTGGAACACAGCCTGGTGATTCCTGAGAGTACTGAAGGCAAAACCATGTGCCGGGCATGTGTAATGGCCCAGCCATACCACCACCGGGGGACACCCAGGGGGCCGGCACGGAGACTCAGACGCTTGACACCTGTGTGCAGTGAGCTCGACTCACAAAAGCCAGAGGAAAACAACCCCACATCAGGTGAATGGAGAACAGACGACAGCGTAAAGTCCGCTCAGCTGTCTCCACACTTCCCTCACACGGACAGTACAGGGCATGTGTCCCAAGGGCGAAGTCACTCAGGCTCTGCACTCACCTTCAGATAGTTCAGGACGCCGATGTTCTTCATCTGGTCTGCAAAGGTGTTGAAGGTCTCCGTGCTGCTTTCGGGGTGATAAAACAGAACTTCGCTTCCAAGCTTCCACACAATCTGTCAGACCAGAAATGACTACCAAAATGTAAGGAATGTAACATTTTTTTCAGATTAGAACACTGAAAAACAACACAGAATTATTTTTCCTGGAGACTGTTACTGTTCATATTTTATAATAGTTCATCCAGTAAAAGTGGTATCACATACTACGTAATAAAATTTTCTCAACCATCTGAATTCATAGATTCATGATGATATAGCATTAATATAATTTATTATAGAATAACATATCATAGAACAATAGTAAATATAAACTTTTCATCAGACGACTAAATGTAGGAAACTCGGGCTCCAGGCACACTGGCTTCGTCCCTCTCTCAGCCTCATCTCCCCCTCTGCAAACGAGGACCACAGACCAGCGTCTCCTGAGACCCAGGCACAGGCTCGTGTCTCTGCCGTACTGAGAGAACCAGTGCAGGAATTCCCACAAAGCCAGGCCTAGGAGGTCGAGGTCCAGCCAAAAGTAAAAAGTCACGGGGCTGGGATACCTAGGTTCTGTACCACCAAAACGGGGGAGGGGGAGAGGGGGAGAGGGAGAGAGAGAATATGAATTCTGTTTCATCAGACTGGACACATTTTAATGAAAATATTTCCTTCTCTGACACCAGAACTTCACTGTGAATCTGGAGGTCTTTTTTTCAGCGGAACAAATGTCTCTTTTTCTTACCCCTTTCCTTCTCTAAGGCACTTCAATAATACCAACTTTAAGGTAAATTAAACTTTAAATCAATTGCTTCTATGAAATGTATGTTCCTTTTTTGATAAAATAATAATTACATCTTCCTGTCCACAAAAGAGGCCAAGGGGCCGGGGATTTGGGATTTAGCTCAGTGGTTCTGTTGCCTGCCCCATAAGTGCAAGGGCCCAAGTTCAATCCCTGGTACCAAAAAAAAAAATAAAAAAGAGGCCAGGATTTCACTTCCATAATCCCAAACTTTGGAAACACTCTGGCAGCTCCTGCAGAGGTTAACACAGTGCTATCTATGACCCACAATTCCACTCCTGGCTATGTATACACCCAAGAGGAAGGAAAACAAATGTCGATATACAAACTTGTCTGTGAATGCTCACAGAAGCATTACTCATAAGACAAAAAGCAGAAACAATCCAAATGGATTCATAAATAACAGATGGATTCACAAAATGTAGTACAGTATATCCATATAATAGACTATCAGCAATAGAAAGGAATGAAGTACTAATACATGCTACAACATGGGTAAGCCACAAAGCATTACACTAAAGCAAAGAAGCCATTCACAAAGGCCACATACTTTATGACTCCACTCACAGGAAATGTCCAGCACAGGAAGTAGCAGGTTAGTGGCTGCCAGGGTTTTGGGAAGGAATGAAGAAAGAATGCAAGTGAGTATAGGGTTTGTTTTTGGGGAGGACAAAAATATCCTAAATTTAATGGTGGTATGGGTTGCACAACTCAGTGAAAACATTAAACTGTACACTTTCAGTCATGAAAGTGTGAACTGCATGATGTGCTTGTAAATTATGTCGATAAAACTATTAACAAAACAAAAAAAAAGGGTTGGGGACGTAACCCAGTGGTGCCATGCCTGCCTGGCAAATTCAAGGTCCAGAGTTCACCCTGGTACCACAAGAACAAAACGAAACACAGATCGCTCTGGGTAAAGGAAGAGAACAATTCTTTCCAGAAGTTTTTCTGAAAGGGAGAGTGGAAGCAGATACAAAGCCTGAGGAAGAAGTAAGGATCAAAAGATAGAATTAACGGCATTTTTGTGTGATGATAGAAAACATCTCATGGGCGGGGAGAAGAATTACTGGAATTAATATCAGGGATCTGAGAATCCAGAGTTCAGACTCTGCAGTGCCCATTAAAATGACAATAGGTAAAAATGTCCTGTCACAAACTCTCCCAAGACTCCTATAAGCAGCTGCACTCTGAGGCCCCCAAAAGCCCTGCAAGTAGAGCAGGAGGCCGCCTCGCCAGCCTGCACTCTCCCAGCCCAGCCCGCTCACCTCAGTCGCTGACTGCCTCTTGTTGCTGTCAAAATCCTCCAGGATCTGCAGGTAGCTGCACATGTACTCCGCGGCTCGCTGCCACTGGTGCTTCAGCAGGGCCTCCTTGATGAAACTTAGACAAGCACCTGTGGTCTGAGCGAACTCCTTCTTCTTTTTCCCTCTAGTCGCTAGGAGGATGAAAGATTCAGCTTTCAAAAACCTTAGAGAGGGGCCACGCCTGCCTTGTAAGTGCAAGGTCCTGAGTTCGATCCCCAGCACCAAAAAAAAAAACAACAACAACAAAAAAACACTCAGACAAGCACAAGGCTCAGCGAGCAGAATGGCAGGCACCTCCTGCCCCGGCCCACCCCCATCAAGGCCAGCCTCATTGGAAACAAACCTGCCACACTATGCTGTTCCAGAGAAGGAAAAGAACCAAGCTGATGTTGCTGAGCCACCACAACCACCACAGACTTCAAATCTGATTCAATCTTTCATCTTTGCACTACAAAATCTGGGGGAAATTTCTCAAAGAAATCCCCAAAAGCACAGGCTCAGGTACTTAGCATGAGCAAAACACACCAGTTCATCCCAGCAGCACAGTCATTATCTATCCGTGTTCTGAAAATGCCACGTGGGCTTCCATCTTTTAGGACCAAGTTCCCAGAACTCAATAACGTAAGCGCAAGTGAGATTAAACAGCTACAGACATTGGCTGGCAACAGCGGGCAACCCTACACGAGGGACATCTGCGTTCCGCTGCAGCGCTGTCACACAGGTGCTGGGCACGCCACCTGACCCTGTGGGCTGCAGTCTCCCAGCTGCGGACCTGTCTCCCTACAAGTCACAAAGACCGGCCGGGACCATGCAAGGACACTTTCGAAACAATGAGCTTGCCGATCTTACGCTTCCTTAGACATAATCTCCTAAAATCATCTACAATGAGTGCTGAGTCTATAGTCAAGCCTTCACAATTAAAAGCATTGCACCACCGAAGTGAAAACACATGAGTTGAAAATGGGTGATTCTAGCCGGGCGTGGTGGCACACACCTGTAATCCCAGCACTGAGGAGGCTGAGGCATGAGGGTCACAGTGAGTTGAGACCAGCCTGGGCTACACAGTGAGTTCAGGTCAGTCTCAACTACATAGTGAGACCCTGTCTCAAAAAAAAAAAGAGTGATTCTAATATCCCCTTTTGCAAGTCAGGTGATCTTTAATTTTAGTTTATCAAAATTGGAAAATGATCCAACAATGTGATAGATCATGCTGCAATTTTTACAGGAATAGTTCAGGAATAAAAGATCTGATATGCTGTTTGTTTGAACTCCATTTTCTGCCATCTACTTTCCCATGTGACTAAAGTTTCTCAGAGTTAGCTGGATATGGTAACACACGCTGGTGATCTCAGCACTCAGGAGGCTTGAGGCAGGAAGATCACCACAAGTTCAAGGCCAGCCTGAACTACATAGTGAGACCCTGTCTCAAAAAACCAACAGATTCTCAGAGATAAAAACAGAACTGATGGAAAATGTTTCCTCATTCTAGAAGTAAGAACAATCATTCAGTTATCTAAGGCAGTTGGGAAAAAGTAATAAATTTATTTTTAACATTAAAGTTAAAAACATTAAAATTTATTTTAATACTCAAATTTTAAAATATTTTGAACAACTGTGTGTACAACTACTAATTGGAAATTTTAATACTCAAAAGCACTAAAACAAAGTATAAATGCAGATACATATTAAAAGCTCTTTCAAATAGACAATGGAAGGCATTACATCTCTATGCTATTTAGATCCTATCATATTTTAAAATAATATAATTTCATTTAAAATATGTAGTGGAAATTATCTCTCTTATACCTATTACAAAAAAAATTTTAAATGTCACCTTAAAATTGTGCAAGGCAGAAAAGGACAAAGCAGGGCTTATGTAAGTAAAACAGGCCACAGACTACTACTGTAGACTAGGTGCTTCTCAGACAGATAAAGCACCTGTTACTCGGCGTCATCCAGAAACAAAAGGCTTTAGAACCAGCTGGAAATGCAGAATACACCCACCCGGCCTCTGAATGAGATGCTTCATGTAACAAGCTCTACGCTCAAGCCACCCATGTCAGCAACAATCTCAGGCAACCAGCCTGGAAAACTGACAAAACAGGCTGGGATTTAGCTCACTGATGCCACTGCCTGCCTTGCAAGCTCGAGGTCCCGAGTGTTCAAGACCCTGTACCAAAAAAAAAAAAAATAAAAAAAAAAAAAAAAAAAACCTGACAAAGCACTTCATTAAAATATCTTTCATTCACCTAAAAGTATACTGTTCTCAGGCCAAGATCTACAGGTAGGAGGTGCTTCTTCACCTCAGAGGCTACAAGTGATGCCAGCCTGGATTACACAGCAAGACCCTGTCTCAAGAAACAAGAAAAAAAAGAGTGAATTTGACGCCAAATTCCACTACTTCTTTAAACTTGTTTCCTCATGCTTAAAATGCCTTGCACATAGATTTACTGAGGATTCGTTTACTGAGGTCATCAAATGAGATAGTATTTTAAAGTTTTTAAAAGGGTGTGGTGGTACATGTAATTCCTCCACTCTGGGAGGCTGAGGCAGGAGATCAAAACCCAGTTTGGGCAACTTAAGTAATTTAGCGAGACGTCTCAAAACAAAAAATAAAAAGGGCTGGGGATGGAGCTCAGTGCAAAGCCTTGGGTTCAACTGCCAGTACCCCCCCCCAACACACACACGAGTAAGATTTTTTTTAAATGTGGGAATTAAATTCCAGGGGCCAAGGAATTCCTGTAAGGGGCAAGAAGGCAGAAATGAGAAAGACATTTCAGGGCAGTGAGAAAGTGCTGGTTCACATGCACTCCCAGAACTGTACCACCCAACACACGAGCAAGCAACTGCTTCTTCTATATATTCCTATAGGGAATTCAGCCCACAGAAAAAGTTTCTTGTGTTCATGTTAGATAAAAATGGAGGAAAATACTCTTCTTGAAATCTATTACATCGTCATTCTATTAAGAATTATTTCAACAGAAGTTCAACAATTCAACAGAAATTTACTGAATAATTCTGAAGTATGTGCTTCTCAGTGGGAAATGCCATTTATCTATCTATGAGCCCATCTATTCAGCCAGGCCAGGGGTAAACACTTAGCAAGCACTGCTTTTAAAAAGTACTTTTTAGGCCGGGCATGGTGGCACACGCCTGTAATCCCAGCACTCGGGAGGCTGAGGCAGGAGCATCGCTGTGAGTTCGAGACTAGCCTGGGCTACATAGTGAGTTCCTGGTCAGTCTCAACTACACAGTGAGACCCTGTCTCAAAAAACCAAAACAACAACAACAAAAAGTACTTTTTAGGCCGGGCATGGTGGCGCACCCCTGTAATACCAGCACTCAGATCGCTGTGAGTTTGAGACCAGCCTGGGCTACACATTGAGTTCCAGGTCAGTCTCAACTA